CACACACACACACATAAAAGATGTGTTTCTACAATGAAATTTGGTCATCTGATTTAAAAGATATTGAACTATTTTGGTTTAAACATTAGATATATTTTCTACATGTGAATAATTTTGAATGAGAATAAAAGTTTATTTTGCTTTTATTGATATTTTACACCACATCCCAACTCCTTTTGTCTGAATTCTGGCTTTAATTGTAAATTTTTTTTTTAATTTTATTAACATTAGTAATTTTATTTGAAGACCTCTTCATAAACCCTGAGTAAAAAGTTCTTGGTGGGCTGAAAGAAACCCCAAAAATGTAAAATAATAAGATTTAAGTGAAATTTGCTTTGGTTGTTACTGTTTGAGGGTTGGTTTTTCCACCACTTTCAGATGTGTTTTTGAGCAGTTAGAATTTCCGTGCTGTAAAAAACACTGACAACCTGTGRCGAGGCTGAACGGAGCACCTGGGCTGAACCCTTGTTTCTATGGCAGCACACAGAAAACCACTGACTGATTTCCATCAAACTATCACTGACATGCTGCGAAATTTGTTTTGATCCAAGTTATTATCAAATCACTAAATCTTTATTCCCAATCTGGGGTGATTACTGCCAAATAAATGTTTTGCCAAAGGGAAATTCACCACAGACATTATCCACTAGGAAAGCCTTCAGGGTTTGAGACACCAGTGCCAAATGGGCCGTCCTGTGGTTATTTGATGCTCAACTGGAAAGTATATCTTCTGGYTCTGAAACAAAGCTTTTACTGTAGTTGAAAAATATAAAGTCAAGCAGGTTAAAAACAATTATGTACCTCACAGTAAGAAACAAGAAAAACTAACAAAGTTCCACTTCAGGTGAGTTATATAAAAGTTTAGATAATTTCTTCACTTCAGTAGTACTAAATCTTTGCTATTTTGTCATTTTGCTAAAGCTATTTGGTATTTTTTGACATCCAAGGAAATAATATGTGCCAGTGTGCCATTTACAATGAATTTTTCTGCTCCAAGAGATCCAACTAATGACATTTCTGCTTTAAAATCAGTCTGTTTTTGAATAAAATTATCTTTTATCATTGAATCTGTGAGTTTAAATTTGTGTTTTTAAAACCTCTATTAAAACCCTTTCAAGACCGATGCACTGTGTAATCCTAGACTCTTTAATGATTTCATCTAAATGGGTTTTCCCTTCAACATAAAGACAGAAACTGAGATTTTACCATTTATTGTAGTTCCCATTAATAATAATAAAAAAAAACTCTGTTTTTTTGTCTTTTTCATTATTCCACTTCTCTGTCATTTCACTTCCCCTCTCTTTCACTGGAGGCTGACCTCATCACAACAAGCATTTCTCCAGATGTGCGCCTCCTCTGACACCACAGCTGTCCACCCCATCCCTACAGCTCATCAGTGTTTTCTGCCTGTCAGTGTGTAAGTTTCTGACTGTGTGTGAGTAAGTCAGCATTTTGCAGCAAGAAAACATAACAGTGTTGGCGGTGGAATAGAAACGGCTCAGAATAAGCATTCCATGACATATTATGTATCTGAGCTTTGGGACTACTGCATTCTGAAGCCAAGTAAAGGTGGAAGCGTAGCGTTCCGTTTGGTGGGCTCAAATAACCGTTTGACAATTTTTAGTTTTGCATTAGCGAAACGTTGCCTGCTGCTGTCAGAATGTTTTAGACATTTAGAGTAAAGGTTCCTTTCACAAAGGAAAAATAATTCTTAATTAATTCAAAATATCCCACCAAAAGTGTTACACGTATTTGGAAGTCCCCTTCCCCCTCCACCATCAGCAAGTTGGATTGATGGTTTCTTGAAGGGACACCTCCAAGTGGGGCAGGGGGCAATGGCCAACCCTGAAAATTTGATATCTCCTTCACTGGTCCCCTTTGGTCAGTCAGTTTTATGTTCACAGTTCTTTTTAAATAAATGTAAATTTAGGAAAAGAACAAAAGTAAAACTATGTATATGAAACTATGTATATGACAATAACACCAAAATTCTGTTTGGGCTTTTAGATTAGCTTTGCTTTAGCATCTACACCTCCTGTTTTATTTCAAGGAATCACTTATGTCTTACTTTTTGTAATTAAGCTTTGTTCAGTTGACCTCACAAGTAGAAACTTGAATCTGGGAATCACGTCATTCCAAACCTAAACCAGTTGGATTTATTTTTTGCTGTGCTCAGCAACTTGTTACCTCGTAGATGGTACACTTCTGTGTGCGACTGATTTATTGAGATAAAAGTGACAGACGTGAAAATAAACTGTTTACAACTTTACTTTCGTAGCTATCAGAGCTTTTTGTACCCCTGCCACCCAATGCCACTCCCACTGCAGCACACACCATCAAATCTAAGCAACACAGTAGTTCCTCACAGTCCCTGGGAGCTGCTCCTTGAAGATGTCCATCTTTCTACTACTGTACAACAACTGGTTTCTGGGAGTGGACCATATTCAGCTAAATGAAAATCTTTATGCAGAAGGATGAGCTGCTCTGCTCTGCATAAACAAATGCCAGCAAAGTTCGGACCAATCACATGCGTGCCACATAGTCCACAAGAGACAGTTCTGACTGGAAGGTATGTACAAGACAGGCTGTAAGTGGGGTAACTTACAGAAGTTATGGAATATTTGTCACGCAGCAACATTAAGACTGATAATGCATTCTCAAGTCTTGCTTACAGCCTTGCGTGACAAATAAATTGTGCAACTTCCATCCATTACCACCCACCAACACCCTGCCTTGTACAATTGTCCCACACTGTAAAAAATGAAATGTTGGATTTAATTAACCATGTTATGTTACCTGGTTCCACTTGACTGAGTTGAGTAAATTCAAAGCAATATACCAGTTTTTTAACCAAAGAACAAGAGTATGTTACTTTGAATTTACTCAACTCAGTTAAGTGGAACCAGGTAACATAACATGGTTAAGTAAATCCAACATTTCATTTTTAGAGTGCATGAACTCTGTCTTGCAGAGGTTTGCACTGTCTGGTTGGTCTTCTTGGATGTGCTTGCATACATACTGTATAGCATGTGCTTCTGCATGTCATTTCAATGAAAAGGTTCGGCTCCCRAAAGCCGGTTGGCAGTTTAACAAAACGGATAACTTCAAGGAGCAATCAGTCTGATCCTATTGAACGTCCAACCAAAGTCAAAGTCTTCTTTATGTCTCCACGATTAACAAAAACAAAAACCAACTAGTTTTCCCTCTTCCCACTTCTCATCCATTAACCCAAA